AAACTCAGATGAGAATGTGTTAAAGGTCGGAAAAAGAAAAAGAGGAGTAGGACTAGGTATAGACAAGTATGGAAAATGTGTTAAGTTGGAAATATACTGTCTGTCCAGGGATCGGAGCTCTCATTTCTCCAAGAGAAATATCCTCATTTTGATATTGACCTAAAAAAGAATGTGTTTCCACTCTGCAGCTCAAACCATGCCAACAACCACAGTCCAGGATTGATTGGATTATTGACTTGCTAAAAAGAAAATCTTATGATATTACTGACAGGGCGCTTATTCAAACGGGGCGCTTGAGGAAATTTTCACGTTAGGAAGGGCGGTTATTCAAAAGGGGCGCTTATTCGCGCGAGTACGGTACGGTACTTTATTGAAACATATTACATCAGTGTAATACAATGTAATGTAACACATCAATAAATCAATAAACAATGAAGTTACATCTACCATATCAAAAAATAACAATTTCCAAGAGCTATGATGTGCTGCCATCTAGTTGTTATTAGAGCAAACCATACCGTATCTGATAACAAATTTGTAGTGTAGGACAAATTTGTAGTGGAGGACATTTATCATGATACTTAATGTTGTTCATCTGATTTTATTAAAATTGTTCGGAAGGGGGGGTGGTTCTAGAGGTACATAACATTTAGAGGGGAGTTTGGAAAAGTGTTACAGAGTGTTACGGGGGTGTGTCAATTTTTGCCAAAAAAATGTATTACATAATACTTGAATGACCCCTATATACACCAAGGCCTATGTATATAATATGATTATATATGGGTATATATAACAAACGGACACAAATAATACTGTAATGTATCACAAAGTGATTGCGCGTAAGTTTCAATAATGGCGCGAATTATCTGAAAATGATCGATCGTCACGCGCGTGTCGTTGCGTAGTGGGTTCCCTGGAGCCCCTTTGGAAGAGGTAGCTTGAGATAAGACTGCAGTCTACCACCTATGGTTATAAGTTGACAACAGTTAATGGTATTAATGTGCTGTAATAGTAAAACTATTTGGTTGAAATGATAATTGTTACGATAGTGATTTATATAATGGGTGTAGGCCTACAAAGGGTACATCCCGAGTGGGCCTTCTTCGTCACTGTACTGCTACGTCAAACGCGCAGTTTCTAAATCTGCGCGCGTGTGTAGAACATTACAAAATGATCCTCGGCTACACCACTACCAGCAGGCAATAGGCCAAGATACCCCAAAGTATGAAAGTACAATTTCTACCTGCCTCGGCCTATTTTAATCATTTTTACGAAAAATTATTCTTGAAATGAAACACTGAATATGGGTAAGTAGGCCTATTACTATAACAATTCAACTTCTGTAGATTTTGGAAGAAATTTCCTGGGACTTTTCATCATTTGTTGAGTACTGTGCGCGCAATTATCACTATTTTATTATTAGGCCTGATGCTCTTTTATTTCAAGCACTGTTTGAGAATCATTTACCTTTCTTTATTATTATGTTCACAATGATATACAGCAACGCCAATGTATATTGTGTATGTGATATAATGTAGGCCTATGCCTCCATGTAGGCCTCCTAGGCCTATATTATTAGTTGACCGTTACACATTTTAATTGATGTGCCAGGTACAATGTCTGTGTGTAGGCCTATTTGCTTATTTTCTTTCTCCTTTATGTAGGCCTACCGAGACTGTGAAGTTCGTCTACTTTTGAAATCAGGATTTTCAATTATCAGAGTTTGAAGTTACTATGGATTCTGCTTACTTATCCATTTCAGCAGAGGAAGCATCTATTCCAGTGACTGAAATGAGCAACTTGCAGCAATCGACGCGGCCTCATACTACATTACATGAGGTCGATCGCCAGCACCCAATAGCCCAAACGTCTCCCCCATCCCAGATAGTGTCAACAGTGGAATATATACCCCAGCATAACATTTGCAAGAAGCACGATGTGTCTACGACAGAAGGCGATCGAACGGTGGACGGCGATGACGTGCAACTAAATAATTTAGACGATGATGATGATAATAGACCTTCGTGTTTATATTCATTTTATCGTAGCGCGATTAAAAAAATTGGCAAATGTTGCTGGGAACTTGTAGAATTATTATGCGATATTTAACAATGTGGCAATATGAACTGCTACATAGTATGGAGACTATTAAAGCGGCTGAATTGCGGCATTTACACAACGATTTTGTCCAATCAGAGAGCTGAGAGACACAGGTCATCTGATCGATATCCATTGCTAACACTTTATTTAAATTTGCCTATCAATATTCAGTGAATTTCATATTGTTCACAACCCGAACTATATGATTTTGTGGCCTACGAAATAGGGGTTAATATTGCAGGCAGTGTATTGCCCTGGTTACATCAAGGAGTCTTATTTATACGGTAGAGAAGAGTGGGATGGTGAGAAGTGGGGGTGGGTAGGTAGTTTTTGCAGGAATAAGTACATATATAAATAAATAAAACATATTTTATTAAATTATTAGTATGTACTTTGCCAAATATTTGAAATACATGATTATGGTGTCACCCTGGTGGTGTAATGGAGCACTCTGTACCAGGAGGCAATCCCTTCCGAAGACGTGAGCATTTGACACGACGCCGCCGTCAGCTGAATGTGGTCCGAGTTGTATAACCAACAAAACTGCGGTACCAAACTCTTTGAACAAAAAGTTTTGTTGGTTAGGGATAAGATCTTTGGTTAGGCCTACAAATCGTGTACGTTATACAAAGCATGTTTTAGTTTAAACGTCCGAGTCGTGTAATAAAACAGATGCAATTTAACAAAATCACACATCAAGGAAGTGTACTTGAAATGACTATTTTTCAAATTTATTTATACAAATATTAGTAAATTCAATAATGGACTGATGTTCTGGATAACAATTACTGTACAATTACTAATCACGATATTTTAGGCCAATAGGCATGGTATAACCAACAAAACTGCGGTACCAAACTCTTTGAACAAAAAGTTTTGTTGGTTAGGGATAAGATCTTTGGTTAGGCCTACAAATCGTGTACGTTATACAAAGCATGTTTTAGTTTAAACGTCCGAGTCGTGTAATAAAACAGATGCAATTTAACAAAATCACACATCAAGGAAGTGTACTTGAAATGACTATTTTTCAAATTTATTTATACAAATATTAGTAAATTCAATAATGGACTGATGTTCTGGATAACAATTACTGTACAATTACTAATCACGATATTTTAGGCCAATAGGCCTATTTAGTTTTATGAAATAGTAGTAACGATATCAGCCCAAGTTCATGCTCACATCATCTTTCCCGTAAATAGGCCTATGCTGAGTTTACTTAATTTATTGGTTGTGTAAAGGAAGCCAGTGTGCTAACTGCTATCGCACCTGAACTTAAAATAGGGATCTATTTTTAGATGGTACATCATGATTCTTAAAACATCATAGCTTAAGCCGGGCACGCACTGCGCGTACGACGGTCGATTGACTAATCCAACTCCTCTTCTCGTGAGCGCTAGACGACACAACGCCTTCTGATGATTGTCGATGGCTGTCTGAACGGATCGTCATTAAAAACGATCCGTTGCACACGCGTCGGGGTGCGTTCTCCATAGCTTCGCGTCTGCCGACGACCGTCGGGCGCAGTGGGTACCAGGCTTAAAGTATTTTGTTTCATTTCATGATCCATTTTATGACGTCGTAAGAATATTTCACATAAGGTCCTCCACCGTGTGGGCATATGGATACGTAGTACACTGCGGCTTTAGGCCAAGATCATTTTCTTTGTACGCATGGTAAAACATAAGAAACCTTGTTGCATTTTCATATCCACTGGCGTAGAGGGTCTTTAAGAATGATGTTGGCGGCGGGAAAAGTCCATCACCGATACGAAACATTTGCAAGGCGCTGACATCAAATCTTTGACCACTGGTATCCACCCAACCACACACGATCTTGTCACGTGTCCTCGCATAACATTTTGGATCCGGGGAAATTTTAATAAGAGTGCCTGCTTGAAATGAATATACCTCATCTTCCGGTAGATTTTGTGTATGCATTAGTGATACATCACCCAGAAACTGAAATGAATTGACATAGCACTTACTAAAATGAAATTGAAAGTAAAAATATAAAGCATAGGCTTACTACTTGTGGCAGGCGTCTATTTTATTTTATTTATTTTGTAACTTGTTTGAAAGTAAGTTTTAAATTGCATGTTTTTATTGATACCAAATAAATATGATAATAATAATAGTATTATACGAGAACTACTACAAAATAAAACTAAGATGAAAAGGGACAAGACAATGCAGGTTTGTCCGTATACCTTGTTATTAAATGACGGAGGCTTCCAAGACGGGAACCAGGGAACATATATACACCCAAGCAACACCTATATTATGGGAAAAAATGAAGGCATTGAATTATTAGTAATATTGTGATATTATCTGTTGTGACAATGAAACTCTAAAGAAGGTTTAATAATATTCGAAGTTTACTTTATTACTGTCCTTGACGGTGCTAAACAAATACATTAAACATACAACATAGGCCTAATAGGGACAAATTTCAATAACAACAAAACACAAATTCAAAACTCAATTGGGAAAATAAATTTTTCTAAAACAAAATTAAATGTTTATAAATGTATATGCCTACATTAACCCACTATAAATTGCAACTTTAATGTTTGCATTCCAATAATAATTTCCAATAAATCTTACCTCGATCATTTCTTCTCTGCTGCTGAAGGAAGCAAACTCTTCTTTTCCAAGTACTTGCCAACAGCGATCACCTATTTCAAAAACCTTTGGACCTTTGGAGAATATGCTAGAACTTGTTCCCTGATCAACATCATGGACCGTTAATGGCGTGAACTTATCTACCAGTTGCAACCGTGTAGCTTTAACGCGTAGTTTCCCTGTCGCTAGGATATGTGCGTTTGGTGGTAAAACATTTTCCAAAATAGACCGGACTTTTTGAATGAGATCAAATCCATCGGATAAGGCGCCATGTGAGAGAGGTGCTACTTCGTCTGCAAGACTGCATAAACTGTTGAGTAAACTCTGTAAGAATGAAATGAATAGTATAATCGGACGTTTTTCTCTCTGAATATATGAATTTTGTGCTCAGAAATATTGGGGATACGGTAAACTCAAACTAACCATTGTCGCAGCTGGCAAATCATGGATAATATGTTATTTATTTTATTTTATTTATTTATTATCATTAATAATTAGATTATTTTATATTATTACACAGGGAATATTGGGGTGTCTATAAAACGAAGACCGAAGACCGAAGACCCCTACTTTTTCTCTTTCATTTTGATGATAATATGTCAGCCTGGCGTATTATCATTTTGATGATAATACGCCAGGCTGACACAAAATCAAAATTACGAAATTAGGTGCTACTTCGTCTGCAAGACTGCATAAACTGTTGAGTAAACTCCGTAAAAATGAAATTAATAGTATAATCGGACGTTTTTCTCTCTGAATATATGAATTTTGTGCTGAGGAATATTGGAGATACGGTAAAGCTCAAACTAACCATTCGATAAGTCGCAGCTGGCAAATCATGGATAACTTGTTATTTATTTTATTTTATTTATTTATTATCATTAATAATTAGATTATTTTATATTATTACACAGGGAATATTGGGGTGTCTATAAAACGAAGACCGAAGACCGAAGACCCCAAAACGAAGACCCCTATTTTTTCTCTTTCATTTTGATGATAATACGCCAGGTTGTCACAAAATCAAAATTACGAATTTTATTGGGCGTCTGTTTGTGAAATTTTCAAGGGTCTTCGTTTTACAGACACCCTATATGGGTGTCTGCAAAAAGACCGAAGACCCGAAAAACGAAGACCTCCAATTATTTTTCAATTATCTTATTGAAAGTATTTCAAAATCATCATAAAACAGCTGCCAAGTACATATTTCATTATTTTATCACGATTGCGAGAAAAAAAATGTGGGTCTTCGTTTTTCGGGTCTTCGGTCTTCGTACGCGTTTTGTAGACACCCATATAGGGTGTCTATAAAACGAAGACCCTTAATTATCTCGTCCATCCTATGTTGGTGTCACTACCAAGTGACCGATGCTGTACATATGCGTCACTATACCACTCCTAGATAATTGAGAAATAACTGGAGTCTTCGTTTTTCGGGTCTCGGTCTTCGTTTTGTAGACATCTATAGTGTGTCTATAAAACGAAGACCCTTGAAAATTTCACAAACAGAACGCCAAAAAAATTTCGTAATTTGGATTTTGTGAGAGCCTGGCGTATTATCATCAAAATGAAAGAGAAAAATAGGGGTCTTCGTTGGGGTCTTCGGTCTTCGTTTTATAGACACCCGGGAGTATTATTTGAAAATTGTTCCAGCAGGAATTGCCTTGATTAAACCCCCAACCTCTCGAGACTAGTTTCATGCCAATAGACCACGAAATCTGTTGGTATATGACAGAATAGGTCTAAATGATGATGATAATATAAAAATATGAAATCTACAAACCGGTAGATTCTCTGGGGCTGTTGCCATGACAGCCGCAACTAACGAACATGAGGAGCTTCCTGCATAGCACTGGGTGTTACCAACGATGATCTGCCCATGATCCAGCATGCACTGCGCTGATCCGATGGTCAATATACCTAGGAATGAACTTCCATTGAGGCAGACATTGAAAGGTGGTTGGAGTATATTAGGCCTATTCTCTCCCATCTGCAACAATATGTAATCACATATAACAATTTGAGTGGTATGAGCGGAGGATATAACGATAGTAGGGCCTAGGCCTAATAATCATCCGATCTTTACAGTATCTTCACCTTTTGTTTTCATCATCGTTATCTTTGTAGACATATTCATTATCTTCTCCTATCATCACCATAATCAAATAATAATATATGTTCACTATAATAGGCCTACACATTGTATTGCCGATCAATATTCTTTAGGTGGAGAGGAGAGGGACACACAAAAATGGAAGGAGTGAAAAAGCTATAGCTCTTAAAATGGTAGAACTCAGTCTGTTTTTTCTTAACATGAGAACCAATTACTTCGCTCTACGTAAGTGTATGGTGATAAGCACGAGATGTGTGTGAATTGCCGGGTTCATAAAACAAACACGGCAGTGTGATTTTTGTGTATTCGCCACATCAAAGCTTAACTTCTGACCCTCACAAGCCGTACAGATCGATATTCTATTAAATCCTATGCAAGGTTGACGCATTAACCTGACAATCTTCAACAATAAGACGTATGCGCATTATGATGGTTGTTCACAGAAAAACATATACAGTAATCCAAAATTCGAACAGTTAAGTATAGACCTACAATCATATAACAGCAACTTAAAAAGACACCACACGCAGAAATTACCATAGCACACGGAAAATGTAAACTGTGTCTAAGTTGAAATAATCGACAGCTATATTAATCATGTACACATGAATACAGTAGGCCTACCATATCGTTCTTACTAGTAATAATATTTAACCGGTAAAAATGCTCATGCATATTATATTGCATATGGATTGTGCATGCACTCGCATCAAAAAGAAAAAAATAAAACATGACGTGCAACAAAGAGCAAGTTTGAAATGTTTTTATAAAGAACGTAAACTTACAGTGTTGTTAAGAGATCAACTATTGAGGTGTCGTATGTCTGTAGACAGCTGAATCGTCTGCGGGGTTTGTTTTCCTCGATTGGTCATTGTTCGTGTGATACTTCAGCTTACATACTTTCGCTCCCTTGGTAACGAACACAAAATCGATTTTAGGAAGTAGGCTTACATATACATAGGTGAAAATCAAACAGCAGGTCAAAGGATCAGTAAGTGGGCGCGCAACTCAGTAAGCCAGAATCCAGGGGTGGCGCCAGCGGGGGGCCCTCCCCCGTCGGGGAGAGCTAGCTCCTCCCCCCGTTGGGGAGAGCTCCCCCCCCCCAGGTCGGGGAGAAAAAGCACAATTTGTCGGGGAGAAAAAAAAAATATATGTATTTTCTACACATTAGTAGACTCTAAAATCGATTAAATAAGCCTTTGAAACCACTAAAATTTGTCAAAATTTTCGGCGGCTTCGCCCCCCCAAGACCACTTCCGAAAGCTTTTAATCGAAGCTCGACCACGCCCCCTTTGCTTTCGTCGGGGAAATCTGACCTCTCGTCGGGGCATCGTCCCCTCGGGGACCTCGGCCCCACCCCCCCCGTCGGGCAAATCCTGGCGCTACCCCTGCCAGAATCGTGAAGGGTAGTTGAGAAATGCAAAAAGGCACTCTTGAGTCATACAGACAGTTTTCTACCCGAGAACGATTTTAGAGCTGATTTTTTTTTTCTTTAGTCTACAAGGGAGTATACCAATACAAAATTCAGTGTTTTTTGTCATGCACAAAACTTAATTAAGATAAAACTCTGATTATGAAGGACCACAAAGTTAAGTTTTCGTTTATATACAAATTAAAATTGATTCCCTGCCAATATAAATACACTAGCAATAATATAAAGACTTTTGCATCTGGTAATTGTCAAAGAAAATATATTTTTTCTAAATATTCCTAAGCAGTCGCGTAACGATGGGGCAGGGGGCCCTGTGGCTTTTTGAAACTGGGGGTCCTTTGTGGTTCCTGGTTGCCAATTTTATCGTGGGATTTTAGATGTGCTCGTATTTTAATCATGTTTGCATTGTTATTCTAAATGTTTTTAACGAATGATGACTGATCTAGGAACCTATGGGTAGGGCCCCTTTGGCCCCAAGGGGTCGGGGGCTCTGCGGACCGCTGTATGAGAGCGCACAGGCATTATAACACTGTTCCTAAGTCAGTTATTACAATTTGTGTGTCTAGTAGGGATGGGTGGGAAGCTTTCATTTCATTAGTAGTATCTTGCATAATAATAACAATAAATTAATATATAGAAACTTACAAAATGACATTTAATAAGAAACCAAATGGCGGCGACTAGTTAACTCTGTGATTTATTACCAAAGCTTCAGTTGGATGCTTAATTGTTCCGCACGATTAATCTCACGTGATGTGATTTCAACAAGTTATAGAAATACAAATTTGCATTAAGGTGATAAAAAAAACTTAGTACCAACTTTTCAATGCTTAATGGAATATTTTGTTTACTCATAGGAAGTATTTTGGAATAGTTCCATGACCTCACTAGGTGGCGCTTTACTAATGCAGGATACAACACAGTATCATATCATTGTAAATATCATTGTATGCGTTTATCCGTAAACATGGTGGAATTCCCATTTTACACCATCATTACTTCACTACACCCAACTACTCTGAAACGATTTCAAAATCTCCATAACTGGTTGGATAACGAAAAATACACCACCAGTACACGTGATTCCATGCAGTATTCTTAAAAAGCATGCATGCGTACATAAGTTTTGTGGCATATACTTCACTCATTATACTCATAAAAAACCGTATCATCAAAACCAACATGTGATATACGGTAATTATTATTAACTTTGTGATATCCCCATAACCACACATGTTAATTTAGTATTTAATAACAATGTGGAATATCTTGTTCTAATCATGTGTATGGTGAATGTGAAGCTCAATCTACCATTCTTGTTTAATTGATACAAAATGACTGCCCATTTGGCCTTCCATACATAGAGTAGTGTAAAATCGATATCATATTTCCTGAATTACTCTGTGGGTATTAATTACCATTGGAACAGGCTACTTGTAATTTATGAAAATCGATTAAAAAATATATCATGCTCTTTTCTCTTTCAATCTTAAAAAAAAAAAAAAAAAAAAACAAATTATGAAAGTACACATTTGGCATGATTTTCAAACAATTACCACCTGAGGTTAATATGCTATTAATGTAGTAATTGTTAATTAAACATTAATACATAATTACATTATTAGTAGATAATTTCAGTGGGAATAAATTATTTATATATTAATACCAAGTACAATAATAAAATGTAATCAATAATATATTGATTTCATAATACATTATTGTTAAATAATTATATAATGCAATTGTATCGTATATCTGGAAAAACGATTCAAAATGTACCTAAAGTCAGCTGGCCATGAGTACCTCTGGACCTCTGGATTAAATAATTAACCACTAAAAGCTGCTGATGACAAATCAAAATACATTTCAAATAGAAGAAAACATATAAGTATTAAATTAAGTAAAAAACAATTACTCATTAATTTATTAAAAAAGGCACACAATAGTGCAGTACTTTGGCATTCTTTTTCAACATCATTGTAATTTTTATTTAAAATGTTTTCATTACATTCAATTGATATCGTTCTGTATTTATTATTTTATGAAATTGTGGAACTAAATTTTGATTTGATTTTGATTTTTTTGATAATTTGTTTTAATGCCTGGCTCAAGCCCCAGCTATAACACAAAGTCATAAAAGTATCAGGACAAAAAAAAAATTCACACTGAAAGCTTTAGTTCAATTTAACAATAAGTATTGTATTACAAACAAAGATCTTATAAACACAAGATAGTGTTCTCCGCGATTTACGCGTAACAAATAGAAGCGTCGGTCAAGGTTCAAAAGTTTCCAATTTAGCAAGAGGGCGCCATTCATGTGCTATTATACCAAAGAGGAAAAGTAATCATTTTTGGAAGAGGGCGTCCTATCTGTTGCCATGGATTTGAGATGGTTCCTGTTCTGCTGATCACAGGATTGATACCCTAAAGGTAAAGTCGCGCGGTGTACAGTATGGTCAGAGCAGTCAAGGGTCAAAAGTTTCCAATTTAGCAAGAGGGCGCCATTCATGCCTTGTTACAGAATTTGCATGCGTAAATCGCGGAGAACGCTATCTTGTGTTTATAAGATCTTTGATTACAAATGATTCAGGTATTTTTCAAAAAATAAATATAAAAAACTAATTATTTTCAAAAAATATATTACTGTATGCCACCACCATCCATCTAAAGATATACTGTCTGTGTAAAACTCTGTTCACACTATCAAGATTCATCTTCAATTATCTTGATTTGTCCATATATGGCATTTGTCCATATATGGCAAAATTGTCTGCTCATTCTACTTTTCAATTGAAAGACATTTGAAACTTATTTAATATAATCAAATAATATTAAATTGTATTGGTCTTGAAGCATTATAAAACTCCACTCAGACAGTACATCTTTAAGGAAGTAAAATGGCAAACACTTAACATTTTTGTAAAAAATACACTTGCATTTATAAATTGCATAGGCCTATAGGGTAGGTGTTTGTAAACACGGTAGGTGAAAATGTTGTAAGTAAATAGTGGGTAATATATTGGGTAATGTAAAATGTTATGGGTAAATTGAGGAAAATTTTGTACAGGTAAACGAGTGAACAGTCTATATAGATTAATATTTTCAAATGGGTTTGTATAGCACATTTTCAACAAATTTATTGCTTTACAATAATGTAAAAAAGTAAAGAATACATAACATAACAACAAACCATTACAAACTGATAGGTAAATAGGATGTATAGATAAATTTGTAAAAATCTCGATGGTATTTTAAAATCTATTTTGGAATAGAAGTGACTAGCATACAAACTTATATATTTATAGTATCCAAGTAACTATGGCATAAATTAAATAAAATTATTATAATTACAACACCATGATTATAAAACTAATGACATTTAAACACACACAAACAATTTGTTTCTGGCACTGGGAAAATGTATATATAAGCAATTACATTAATATAATCTAAATTGATAACTATTAATGTATCTAAACTTACTGCATGACAAGTATAGAGTTACTAAAATAATACTAGAGTTCTAAGCCAGTTTACACCATCAAATATTTTGCCCACATATGGAAGTAACATGACTTGTTATAAACTAAAGCATTTTTCTGGAATAGCACATTCCTTATTGCAGGGAGAACTGCAGTGGCGGATCTAGCAATGGGGGGTGGATAATGGGAGGTAAGAAGACACGATCGGGGGGGGGGGGTTAGTTTTGGGAGGAGCATCCCCTCACATTTGAGATTTTTTGGAATTAGTAGACTGCTAGACTAGACACCCTATTCACCCCCACCCCCTAGATCCACCACTGAACTGGCCTGGGATTTATCAATTTCAGCTTAGCAAATGTCTCAAGTCAAAAAATTTCAGATGTCCCTATTAAGCAAATATCTTAAGCTGATTTATCAAACCATCTTAGCAAAATCTTTGCTTAAAAATTGTCTTAGATGGCGCATGCATACAATCTAAACTTACTGTATGACAAGTATAGAGTTACTAAAATAATACTAGAGTTCTAAGCCAGTTTACACCATCAAATATTTTGCCCACATATGGAAGTAACATGACTTGTTATAAACTAAAGCATTTTTCTGGAATAGCACATTCCTTATTGCAGGGAGAACTGCAGTGGCGGATCTAGGATTAAAAGGTGCCAATTCTTAAAATTTTCTCTCCAACCATAATGTGGCTAAGGTGGGTGTGGACCTCTGATTTAGCAATGGGGGGTGGATAATGGGAGGTAAGAAGACACGATCGGGGGGGGGGGTTAGTTTTGGGAGGAGCATCCCCTCACATTTGAGATTTTTTGGAATTAGTAGACTGCTAGACTAGACACCCTATTCACCCCCACCCCCTAGATCCACCACTGAACTGGCCTGGGATTTATCAATTTCAGCTTAGCAAATGTCTTAAGTCAAAAAATTTCAGATGTCCCTATTAAGCAAATATCTTAAGCCGATTTATCAAACCATCTAAACTTTTTAATTTAAAGGAATTTTTAAGCTAAGCAATATGGATAAATCTGACTTAAGCAAAAAAAATTGATATAAGATGCAAAAGCTGATTTCTCTTTTGATAAATCTAGCGCCAGGACCAGGTGAACCATTCGTGAACACTAGACCATATTAGAGAAGAAACCCGTAATTTTGTTGGTAACATTTAGAAAAAAGTACAGTTGAAATTGCCTAAGTCGAATTTAAAATGGCATTGAAAAATTGTTTGACTTACATTAAATTTGACTTACAGATCATTATTTAATGAAAACACAACAACTTGACATGTAAATTAAATAATAATAATAATAGAAATCATTTGAGTTAGGCAAAGTCGACTTAAGCAAGTTTAACCGAGAGTGCCACTTTGGTGCAATAAAGGTGCCAATTCTTAAAATTTTCTCTCCAACCATAATGTGGCTAAGGTGGGTGTGGACCTCTGTTGGGGCCCCTTCACCCTATAGGGTGCAAGGGCCCCTCGTCTCAGAACTTTTTAATTCACCGCTGGGGCTCTGTAGATCAGGTTCTATTACAAAGGTGTCACTAAAAATGTGCGTCTGGATTATCTAGAGCAATATCACTACACGGCAGCATTTTGGTATAATCATGAATTTTGTTTCCAAAAATTAAAAGGGAAATCTTGCGTTATGAAAAAGGTTTGAAGGTTTATGAACCAAACATTTGAAGTGGCCATTTTGCAGATGAAGTACAGCCAACCTTTAATACTGGAGGGCTAAATGCATTGGTGTTAGTATTCTAGTAATATGATATTAACTCTATGATGATAACAGCATTATTCAAGAAAAACCAAACTTAGACTAAAACAACAACACTATTAAAATACTAAACACAACCAGTAATCATTCTCTCTTCAATAATCAGTTACAGCATAAAAAAAAATGAAAACATGATATATTACCATTAAGAAGGGAGCTCCTTCTAAAAAGTTGCAGTAATACCCTTTCTGTATTCTGTACATTTATAACCTCAATTTAGAGGTAGGCACTTGGATATTTTTACATTATGCCATTAAGCCAAGATACTTGTATTTTGAACCTTAGTTTTACAAAAATCCATGTAAAGCAATTTTTACATTTTGATTAACAGTATGAGTGGCGGATTCAATTAGAGGCCCAGCTGGACCAGGCCCCCCTAAATTGTTGAAAATTTTTTTTAAATGGAGATATAAAGACAATTATATTAAAATTTTAAGTCTGAGCGTGCAAATTCCAGCCATCTATAGGTGCCATAATAAAAATTTATCTTACCTCCGCCACTGAGTATCATAAAAAATAGAAATGAAATAAGCCAAAAATGGGGGAAAAAAATACAAAAAAGGTCTGCCTTTATTAAACAAAAACAACAATCAAATTAAAGTTAGAATTCAATATTAATAATTTGTTAACATCCGTCCAAAATCATGACGTAATCAAAATGTAAAAGAATATATAAACCCGGAGACTCACTGCATCGTACGATGAATTAAACTCTGCTCATGGCGTTTTCCATGGAATCGCATCAACTGTCGGGAGCAGTGAGCCCACTGTGCTTGTGCTGTGCTTTCGCTATGGGAGTTTACCTGCAGGATAGGGAACCTACAACTATGCTTATTTACCATTGATAGGTCTACGTCTCAAGTGGTAGTTCTGCTTTATGCCATTCCCCACACTGTTTGTGTGTACCTCTGAAAATTCTCCGTCGTTAGAATCATACTCAATTTCTACTGGCTCCTGTTCTGGGGCACAAAACTGTGGACGGATGTAGAACTGATATATTGTCCACGCAACGAGACTGATAAAGGCAATGATCCAACAGACTGCGATGTGGGAGGGAAACGGCTTAAGAATCAATTCCCTGTCAAACTTGAGCACAAGTAAAACTTCAGTTAGAATCATGGCAGAAATTATCCATGACTGTTCCCCAAATTTCTTGCAGGTACTGAAATTTAAAGAAATAGACAAACATTAATTTGGGAACTGAATATGTATATATTTGATACGTTGATTGATTTTAGCCCTGTCGTTACAAGCTGATTAACAGATTGACTACTCACGGATCTTCCAAATACTGAAATGTTTCTCGTATTGCAACAGCTGCTGCTGGACTTAACATTATCATGCGGGCCCAGTTTATAAAGTGTGGTGGTGGGATCCACAATACAAATTTCAGGTAAAACGTATTCAATTCAGCAATTTGGAACTGTTAAAAAAAAATGAAACACTATAAAATCTACGGTCTGTGTTGCAATAACATAATAAATCCAAATATTTAAGTTAATTACTATGGTATATGCTCCAAATTTTCAAGTAAATACAAGAATGATGTTAACTTTAGCCCCTCTCCCACTAGGGGTTTTTTCAGCATACGAGTTACAAGAGAATTTTGTTACGCTCTTAATAATCTCGTAGTTAACTCGGTGCTCTGCTCGGCATAATTCGTACATAACTTGTAACCAACTCCATAAAGTCATACCTCACTCGTAGCTAACACGTAATAAGCTCGTATAGGTCCTTTCCAAAGATCACGAGTTTTAACTCGTAAAAATCGTACGACTCCTAGATGAAATAAACCTAGGTGGGAGAGGGGCTTTATGGAATTGACTTGACATTTCGTCTGCTTCCAGGAAAGCTTAGTCATAAGTACCGATATGATGATTGTGGGCTATCCAATGTTAGTTCCAATGAACCATGACTGTGAACTTTGCCATCAGATGAGTGCTTGGGATTTCCCAAGCGGGGCCGGGTCTCCTTCAAAATACTGTCATATATATGTGGCAGTTTGTATGCACCTTGATATCAGCCCTCATGACTCAGCCTTGCTGGAAGCAGGTGAAACGTCAATGCCGTAAGTTCACATCATTCTTGCGCTTAATTGATACTTGGATCATCAAAAAAGAATCATATATACTACCTAATTACTATATATTTCAGAAGTAAATGATCTGTAAATCGGCAAAAACCAGATTTACTTTGATATGCGTCTCATAGAAATTTTATCTTTTTGCTTTTACAGTACTGCATCATAATAATCACAATAATGTAACTTATTTTTTAATGAATTTTTGTGGTTTTCCAGATATCACCACAAATGGCATACACAAACTTTTGCAAAAAAAGAGATGAAGATGAACATACTGTAAATGGATAATGAATTATTAAAATTGATCAATTTAATTTATACATGAATTTATAAGAAACAGATTGTCTTACCATACACATGATTCCTATAACTGCTAGCCAGCGTTTTAAGCTTTTAGTTGGTTTCCAGTCAAATCTTGTCCAGCTGTATGGAGTGAACTGTTGGATCACACGAACCATTTTACCTCTGAAAAAATTAACATAAGCTATTCTTCTTTCTCTTTTCATCCATGCCGAGCGTCAAGGCTAAAATAGGGCTGGAGCTTATTCCCAATTTCTGTATCATGAAGCGGATGAGAGTGGGATACTCCTCATGGGTGGAATGCTAGTGCACCGCAGGTTACTCCCAGCAAATTTACTGGTACCCATTAATAATAGAGCTAGGTAGACTGAAGCAATGTAGAAAAAGTGCCTTGCTCAAGGACACAAGCGAAATGCACAGCAATGGATTGAAACCCTAACCTTGAGGTTGGGAAACCAAACCATTTCCACTGCATACCGCTTCCACACATAAGCAACATAGCATAATAAAAGTGGGTTATCCAGATACATACAACAAATATTAATGTAAATAATAGAACTGTTGTAACAATGGTTCTAATTATTGGGTTAGATAATTTTCTAGGGCAAGCTTTTATTTCAAGATATTTTTTATTAGATTCATAAGTCACTCTATTACGACCCTTGAAAATTTAGCAATATTTGAGAAAAAACTTACAATTTTTAATCCAGAAATACTAAAATTTGGTGTTAAAACAATAGAATTAAAGTAATATAAATTAGAATACAACATTGACAACAATAACAAAAAACAAAAAAAGTGATCAGACATACTGTATGAAGTGTTCAGGGGTGGATCCAGAGATTCCAAAAAGGGGAGGGGAAAATCGAGTGACAACACATTACCCTAGGGGCAACAGGGAAATTTTTGTTTTCTAGACACCCGGAATAACCTCTGAGGTGTTTTGGGCAATCAATAATTTCTTTTTCTTTCTTTCCTTCTTTGTTTACTTTCTAAAATGGGGAACAGAACCGACTCGCTCCCCACCCAAGTCCGCCCCTGGTGTTCACCATATTATCCCTCATAGTTACCTGTATGATCGAATGTTCCATAATCCACGCCATTCATATTCCCGTATATTGAGGTATCGTAGTGTCATCTGTCCTATAATTATCCCTAGGGAATTGCAAACTAAGAAATCCATAATCCACTGAAACAGAACATCAATGTTAAAGCATTAGTTGTATGTATCATTGTCATAAAAACAAAAAGCAATCAATGATCTACCTCTGGACACTCACCATTACTGAGATAGCATACAGTACCATGTTCCTAGCCACTGACTTGATTAAATGTTCCTTGTTATATATTTAGAATTGATTGGTCATATGATGACTTAAATACGCGACATCATTAATGCTGGTATTTATGTTGAAATATAAACAGCCTTAAATTCTCATATCATTATTATTACTATTTTTTCAATCATAAGAGAGAAAATATTGATATAGAATATCAGTACAAATCTGTGACTGGAATTAAATCCTGAAAGATATACCGCAAACATTAAAGATAAAGAGAAGTTCAAAATGGCATTACAGACCCACACCAAAACCAGTAACCACAGCATTAGAACATGACTAACCATGACCCCTCACCGCATTCAGTGGTAGATCCAGGGGGTTGCTAAACAGGTCCTGGCTCCCCTTCCTTCCGTGGCAAAATGTCTAACCAAGTGTGAAATTATTTACAACTTACATGATCCCACCAGCATTCTGCAAAATTTGGCAACTGATGCTCCAAGGAATATTCCAAAAGTTCAAAACCAATGCTTAGTACTTGACACATCCAGAAATCACGAACAATTATCATCTACAATGAGGAAAAGTATAAATTAAAGGGAAAAAAAAAAAATATTTATACTCTAGCAGTTACTCCTTAGAGTGCATACTGCCTTGTGCCTCAATACAGTACCAACAATATGCAGGCCGTGTATAATGGGCGAAACTGCGCATACCCTCAGTGAAATAATAATAAAAAATTAAATCTTCAAAACTCACCTTAACGAACCAGCCAAACAAGTGACTAAAGACGAAAAAATCCCATTTGAGCTGGAAAAAGAAAAATGCAATAGGCCCTATTTATTGTTTTAAAAAGTCCTATTTATATACTATTAGACCACTATAAATTAAGTAGTTATTTAAACTCACAAACTTTTGAAGAGAAAGAAAACAGACTTACCCAAAGGTTTGCAAAAGGTCCATCAACATGGTCTGGCACATACAGACGACAATCTTCTGCATATGACTGTTCAGGTAAACGCTTGCCTAAGTCAGGGTCTATATATCCAACATATTTTCTTGCATCATCAATTGTCTGAAAGCAGAAATTGAATTTTATACTTTACTCTACCATTGAGGGCACACTAAACAAGAAACTAAAAAGATGGTAGAATACCACTGAGTGTAAGCCAAAAATCAATGTTGAGTACAAAGTCTACAAACATCTAAGAACATTGAGGGCAGGCCATCAATTTAATAGAATATCTGTCATCAACCAAAATGTTATTAAGGGCAATGAAAACAGAAGTGAAATTGAAATAAGCAACAACCAATGAACAATTGCATTACTTTGCATACCGATTGGTACTAAGTAATCTAAGTAGTATCCTACAGATTGTAAATAATTAGTTTAAGTTTACGACCGACATTAGTCATGTCAAGGGTCAAGACAATGTCATCGCAGATGTGTTATCCCGTGCTGAAACTCTGTGAATATGGCACAACCTGTCAATTTTGACGCGATGGCAGCGCTGCAGCAGATCGATAGTGAACTTTCTGCACTTCAAAATTTGTCATCTACATCATTACAGCTGAAGTCATGCAAGTTACCATATTCCAGTATCACGGTTGTCTGTGATGTCTCGACTGGTGTCAAACGTCCTTATTTTCCACCTGCACTCAGATCCACAATCTTCAACCAACTTCATGGGTTATCCCATCCTGGTGTACGCGCATCTCAAATCGTGATTGGTGGTAGATTTGTATGGCCTGCTATGAGAAAGGATATTTGTAAGTGGGTTCAAAGGTGTAGCTGTGTAGCCTGCTAACGCTTTAAGATTCACCGACACACTCTGCCCGATTGGAACGTTCGCTGTACTTGATGCCCAATTCGACCAGGCCCACTACCTTAAGCCGATGGATATCTGTATATACTTACCTGTGTTGATACTTTCACTGGATAGCCCGTTGCAGTTCCAATAACCAACATCACAGGAAATACGGTTGCTGAGGTATTTGTCAACCACTGGATTGCAAATTACAATAACGACGGATCGTGGCTGGCAGTTTGAATCGGCTTTGTTCTGAGAACTCTCCATCCTGCTTGAAACTAAACATGTATGCATGACTTCATGATCAACCGTGTGACCCATGCAGCTGAAAGCGTCGTTAAAAGCTTGTAGTGATGTAAAATGGAAAGAGAATTTACCATCCGGTCTACTGTGAAATCTGACATTGGACATTCTCCTACTGAACTGGTATATGGTACTACGCTATGCCTAATAGCACACTTTGTTGAATCTTCAAAGAATGCTGATTCTTTAGATGCAACCAACTACGTTCATCATCTACAAATTGCGATGTGATTGTTACCTCCTATTCCACAACCACCGGCAGGGAAGGAAAAAGTGTATGACCAGCAGTCGGAGGTATTGACAATTAATACAGAGGCATTTTGGGGAAAAAAAATGCTTTTAAACTTTTACATACCACAATTAATTGATAGTGTAATTAAAGAAGAATACAAGCATTTCCAGTTGTTTGTTGTGTTATAATCGGGAAATAAATTCAAAATTTCTTTATTATAATATTTGTAATTATTTACTACTCTTTATTCCACCAGTGGATATAATATATGTCCTACAGTCGATTTCACGTTATGCTGTTGCCCTTGTGGGGCTGAGATAAGAAAATGTATTATTACTGTATGGCACGTCTAGATGCCGGAAATTGCACTCACAGATTTAAAATTGTGAATATAATTTTTTTTATTTTCTCCATTTTTAATTTGTTTTTTTGACAAATTTGGTGGGGTCCCGGGCTCTTTAATCGTTATAATATGATGTATGCCCTAAAGTTGATTTCAGAGACACATTATGGTATTTTTTATCAACAAAGTCTTTTTATGAACTGTACGTTGCAGGCACCACAAAATTAAAACGGTTCTACATAATCGTTACGAACTCATCGCAGACCTAATATTAGCCATAAATCTGTGATTGGTTGATATACACAATATGGAATATAGAGGCAATTTGCAATCGACCAATGACGATCACGCTTTCGTAAGAATTCCTTCCAATGGTAAGAAATATGATATAAAAACATAAAATTTCACATATTATCCGACAATATTTTTTCCAAAAACTCTTCATACTTTAAATTTCTCAAGCCTTCTCTTCTATATTATTGCCCTGATAGAAAAAAAAAAAGATTTCAAAATTCGCTGAAAATCATAGTATAAACCCTCTCCCTCAGAGAGTTGGCTAAAGATGGTAGAATACCATTGAGTATAAGCTAACAATCAATGTTGAGTAGAAAGTCTAACAACATCAAAGAATTTTGATGGCAGGCTAACAATTAAATAGAACATCAATAAAAATATTATTAAGGGCAATGAAAACAGAAGTGAAATCGAAATAAGCAACAACCAATGAACAATTGTATTACTGTACTTTCCATACTGATTGGTACATTCAATCTAAGTACAGTACCAGTATCCTACAGATTGTAAATAATTGGTGAATGTCTTCCAATGTTTTGCCGCTGTGCACATGTATATTTTCCTAATGCACATTATTATCATAATTCCATTTCCATAACATGATTGAAGCTGTAGTACTCCACAGGGAAATCATTATAAGCTTCCATATACCGGTTATACAAGAGGCCAATTAGGATGTGAGCATCACACATTTCAAAGACTCAATAAATCTCACAATTTAATATGCATAACTTCCCTAAGTTATGCTGCTACTCTGTAAATATTATGTAAGGCTGCTCTATTTTTAATTCTGATGATAAATTGGTCTTAAACTTCCTACCAACATAATAAAAACAAAACAACTGGCAATTGGAGGCATTTTTAGGCAATCATACAAAGACTACTACAGAAACCAATTTAATATCTGTGGTGAGAAGCCTATGAAATGCCCTGCCCACAGACACAAATAAGAGGTTTCGCTAAAAAGCGGATTATAATATGTTAAATCTTGGATGCATTATATTTTGATAAACATAGAGTAGCATATGGGAACAAAAACTAACCAATATGTATAAAATCTTAACAGCTATCAGAGTACTAAGTCGCTACACCATTGCCCCGACATGACACTGCTTCATTAATGAGAAAGTACTGTACCTACAAGCAACCAATATTGCTGAGTCTCTCCACAGCTAGTTCCACAGATGTATCATAAATTACTAATATCTCAATTGAAAATACAATCACTTCTCATACATTTGATTAAACATTATTATTAATATTAAATATTAGATAATTAATATTTAATTGTCAAACTTAAGTAAAAGGCAAAAAAAAAAATATAATGTCAAACTTCAGTGAGAAGATGCGCCAGCTGAAAATTCTATGTATAGATTACTCGGCCATACCAAGTGATTTCAAAAATAGCGTTGCTCAGTAACGAAATCGTGTTACATGGTGTTGTGATGTCATCCACGTAGTACTCTATAAAGGAGTGATAACTTGAGTGAATAATTAACCTGTTTCTATCACTAGTCTGATGTTAATCTGACCATGGTGTACGTGTCCAAAAAGTAGGAGAGTCGGCTGATAAAATGCGCTTATAAATCCTAAGAACTTTGTAATTAAAAGATATACTGCCAGCCTAAAATCTGTAAACACACTGAATTACTAATTCACTGACTGGATCATGTATTACTACCTTCTAATGGGACAAACATTGAAATAATTAGGTTAGGCTTTTTTTATACCTTGTTTTTTTGAAAGAAATATGATGCCAATACTGATTTTTCAAGTAAATATAAAAGTACATTTTTGGCTTGTTAGTGCACCTGCCAAAATTTGAAATATCAGAGAAAATAAAATTTCAATCTCTTTTTATCTTACTGGCTGCTAACATTTCTCATGACAGAAATCTAGGACATTATCTCTCAAAGTAGTAGACAGCTTACCAGAGACAATGAATCTAGGACATTATCAATGTGGAAGATAATTTCCCAAAATCATTTGTTAGCTAAACATAAACAATATAATTATACAAGACATTATCTATGGCACTGATAGACAAAAATTGAATTTTTTTTTGCCATTGCCGCCTGATACATAATTGATGTTACTACCATGGTAACTAAACAATAATCATTATTATTATCATTATCTGAAAAAGCGGTTGGCACATCGGTTGTGGCTTGGACTCCCAACCTTGAGCTCAGGGGTTCGAAACTCTTGCTGTGCAAGCCGCTTTTGTGTCCTTGGGCAAGGCACTTTATCTATGTTAATTGTCTCTCTCTACCCAGAAGTATAAATGGGTACCTGGTAGGATATTGCAGCATTGAATGTATTAGTTTCATGCGCTAAGCAAGTAACACACAACCAGGTATACTCCCCAGGGAGCAGAGAAGGTTGAACTTTGTGCTGGTTTGCCATTATTATCCAGTGACCAGGGGTAAAAACGCTAAGCGCCTTTGATCATTCAACTTGGAATTGGCGCTATATAAATATTTGAGATATTATTATTACTTATCAAAATAATTACCTGAAAAAGAAGGAAGACCAAAAGCAATTCGTAAACAACGCACAGGCATAAAACTAGTCTCCAAAGGGCTGGATGAGGGCGTCGAAAGGGACCATCTTTGGCTTGGGTCATACCCCATAGGCAAAACGTTACAACACATGCAGCAAGACCTCTGAAAAAAAGAGAAACGAATAATGAGTCAATATAGCACGATAGAAAACAATATCCAGAATGGAAAGAAGTTGGGCTAAAGATAGGTCCATACTAATTTGGTGAAAAACCCTACTTTATAATCATTTAGACATCCCAAATACTTGAAAGGCAATAGCTTTAAATATTTTGTAGAATCACTGGATTATAAAATATAAAAGTTGTTGTACTCCATGTTTGTTTGTCAATTAAATGTATCTGATAGGCTCTCCCCTTTTTAGTGAAAATGCAGGTGCTTTCATGTGTTGTTTAACACAGGCTAGTGATGAATAATAATTTGACCAAAAAATTAATTATATTAGTGCATTTTAAAATTCTAAACTGTCCAAATTTTTGACAGCTTCTCCTTACCCGGACATATGTAAAAACTCTTGAGTACTCAAAACTTTGAAAATACACATATAATAATCAATAGCAATTTAATTAAGAAGAAAAAATATATTTGAATAATTTACAGGCCAATGAATTTCCTGGAATTTATTAAATGGTTACCTTTTGACATGATAACCGGTATCATCTCGCCGCTCATCTTCTACCAATGCCACATAGAGCAGAGAGATAATCATGAAAACCAGGACAGTAATAGAATGTGCTCGCCTATTTTGAAAACAAGAATCAAACCATTTTCAAGTTATTGGTTGATCTACATTATATGTACACTACATTACACATAGCTTTGACTTTATAAATGCTGGCTGCCTTTTAAGAGGTCAGAGGTATGCATGAGGCCATAGGGAGACAATAATGTTCAGGGTATTTATAGAAAGGGCTGATGTTACTATTGTTTAGAGTAATGCACTTAATAGCATTTAGAGGGAGGAAAGTCAGGCAGGGAAATTTCCCCAGAACCCAGACCACATAGGTGTGGCACCCCCAGGCCACTAGGATAAAAATAGTGATGTAAGAATATGCATATTGGACGAGTAACCCTATGATCATATAAATTAGACTTGTACTGTAGTACAATACATACTTGTATTAGAAATTATCCAAAAAGCAGTTTGTGCACAAGAAACTTTGGACCCCAGCACCCAAAATCAACTGGCACCTAAGCCAGCATTGGGGCCTCTGACACCTGCATGGGGCTTAGGGCTGCCCTGACTATGGATTGGCTTGGATGCCATTGCTGATTAATGTTGTGATTATTGTTTAGACAGGTCAATGTCACGTTGACACTGATGTTGATAATTAAATACTATTCAAGGTATTTATGGATAGGGGTTTCTGTACCAGTGAAAAGTCTACTTGCAAGTTAAATCATCAGAAGATCTTATAATCAATAAACAATTAATAATATTCATTCACTCTCAAAATCTCAACAAGAAAAAAAAAACACAAGTATACCAGAAGAATGTGTTTGTTCCATCATCATAAACGTGAGTCTGTAAACTTGAGAAGTGGCTGCTCCTTCGTCTATCTTTATACTGGTACCTTCTTTCAGCCTCATAGAATAATGACTCATTATGCACATTTTTCTTTGACTTTCTATGCATTTTTTTTCTTTGGTTCCTGTATTGTAAATGATTCAAAATAAAATACATAAGTTAGCCATTTAAATATAACAACAACATTATTATTTTTAGACACTAGAATGTCTCAAGTGCAGATAAATGGTAGGCCTACTGTACCCACAAAGCAGAAAGGAGACAGGGGAGATGAGTGGGAATGATGACTTCAACAATGTTGTGCACCACACCCTTGACAGACACACCTGAAAGTGGGTGGAAAGATTAATACTGTGCTACTGTTGCAATACCTATACTGTAATTTACATTACTGCAGAGAAAAGGGGCATGGCAATATAGCCTACAAAATGCCAGTCGAGTGTACAGTAGTACTTCATAGTAGTATCAGGATTTGGTATTGTGCATATATTGCATCGAAACCTTTCAAAGAGACAACCAATTTCATGTCTTTCAATTATTATATTATTCTATCGTTCCTTAAATATAAATCAAATGAAAAGTAATCTTGACTTTGTTGAACATGATGATTATGGTTTATTTTAAGCTGGCAAAATATATACACACATTATGATACACAGCACACGTAATCATTAGCAATTTGGATAATTTGGTATAAATATCATTAATTAGATTAAAAAAAATCCAACTCTAATTATATTGTAGAATCGTAAGAGGTATAATTTATCCATATAAAGAGGTATAATCTATATAAAGAGGTATAATTTATCCATGGACCCCATTGGAAACAAGTTTCTCAACTTCATGTGTTATCCATGGCATCTTTTCTAATGAAATTGTATTGCCTTTGTACAGTATTCCCCACCTTTTAAATGATGTTGTAAATTGAAATTTTAATGTGATGCTGATTAAGAAAACAAAATAATAAGAGCTTCATTAGCTTTTTGGCTAATTTTGATTTAAACTAGCTAAATTAGATTTAAGATTTGGCTATTTGGTTAATGACAGCTTAAACTCTGAATGACCTTATACATTCATTTCATTCTTTATCTTTTACAGTATTTACTATGAAAAAGTATCAACAGGTATCTATATGAACAGTTAGTAAAACATACAATACAAAAAAGAGGAGCCAATCAATGATAACCTAAATCAACCTGTAGATTCTGATAATCTACATAAGCTCAGTTTTTTTTTTCATTTTTAAAAATCATCACATCTCAAACAACTTGAGGCTATACACATAAGCGACCTGTGTATAAGATGACCCTACCTGCCATCTGCGTTTGAGAAGGTTTTTGAATGATATTTGTACGTCAGACGACCCCTCCCTGTCTCACTCTTGGAATTCCTATTTTTTGCTGCTCTTGAAAATCTTTATACTACAGAGTACATCTACATCTAAAAACAGAACCAAATGTAGAGCTAATCTTCTAAATAATATCATTTAATGGGCTTTTAATGTTCAACAAAATCTTATTTCCTGCATTGAAAATTGCGTTGATTCACACTACAGTAACAGTAAGTAACTTCATTTCAGTAGTAAATTCATGTGTTACGGACAATCTACTCACAAGACTAACATGATTTGAAAATTAAAAATTTGTAAGTGTTTCGTTGACACCCTGTTTTTCTATCATAATTTGCTATTTAAGCCTTGTTGTTACGGACAATCTACTCACAAGACTAACATGATTTGAAAATTAAAAATTTGTAAGTACAGTATTGCGTTGACACCTTGTTTTTCTATCATAATTTGCTATTTAAGCCTTGTCTTATACTGTACTCAAGAATATACAGTAAGTTATTGTTTCTGGTCTCCTACGTACTGTACCTGGGAGCATTCCTTATCCTAGTGCTGCAATTACACACAATCAAATGCATTCATGGCACACACACTACATAGCCGGCAGAAGTATTTTGCATATGGTCCGGCCATTAGAGTAAGGGGGGGGGGGAAGGTTGGTTGTTAAACTGCTGACCAGCTACCCCTATCAAAGGATACAGAGCATCCTATTCTTACTCAAGAACTCAAGAAAACATTAAGCCTATATTCAAAAAAGATAATGGTGTTTTTTTTTTAAACACTGCTCCTTAAACACATATTTTGGTGGAGATTTTTGCACTTTTTTAAACATTTGTTGTTGTTGTCGTCGTTTTTGCTGTTGTTGTTGTCATTGTTGTCGTCGTCATAGTCGTCATCGTTGTTGTCATCGTCACTGCCGCCGCCACCGCTGCTGTTATTATTAAAGGCCTATATTCCCTGTACATAATGCTAAAGAGTGGGCCCAAAAAAGCACCCAGGTTAAAAATGCTGGATCTGGACAAGGTCTATTGCAAAAATGATAAATAGTTCAACATCTATTTTCATATCAGTGTCATGTACTGTAGATGAATTGAGTTACTTATTCCTCCATTAATAAAATTTAATAAAAATAGATAGTGCAAGGAACGCAAACACAGGCCTATGAATAACAATGAATACACTGTTATTAATCATTTATTATACAGTATAATTAGTAGTTACTGTATAACCTGATGCAGATATTAACATCAAGGGTAGGGATGAGGCAGATAGAGGCTAAACAAAATGTCTCAAGCAATGTCCATCATGTACAGTACCTTGCCTCTAACCTGTACAGTAAATTATCAGAAAAGGTGGAAGCAGAATTTATCTTATATATTTATGATATAAATCTATTATTTTTAAATATTATCTTATGCACAGTGCATTGTTTAAAGTAAACTTCTTCAATATTTAGTTTCATTGTACATTTATTGATTAAAAAAAAAGGAAAAGGGAAAAAAAATAGTATTTTAAAATGATTTAAAAAAAAAATATACCTTAATGTTAATTTGTTGATTTTACTATCCTAAAACCCTAAAGTCTTTATGGGCAGCAGAAGATTTTCCCCCTTGACTCAGTAAGGGGTGGCTCTCTCATGTAACTTGTCCGGATGCCCGAGGCAGCCTCTTTGTTTGGACCCCTGTCTCTATGGCTGAATGCCATGTTGGCTATTTAAGGAGACATACTGATGCACAGTTGGGTCATCAAATGTATTTGATGAAGTGAAGTAGTCATTAAAAAAGTGAGTTCTTGAGATCAATTCTGAATTTGCAATAATACATTAAAAATGATCATTACATTATTATTTTAACAATTAGGAACAATGCCTACTGTAAGATATATATTAAAAAATTAACTTAATAAAAATAATTAAAATTAATAAAAGGCAAATATTAATAGTGAATACAGTAACACTTGTTCAGTAGCAATTTAACATGGCAAAGTAAAATATATATTACAGTATATCATAAAATCCCAATTGATGAAAATATAATAAACTCAGCCTCGAGAATGGAGAAATAAAGGACAGACATTCTGGCAAACCGTTGCTAGTACCAGCTTCGCTGCGGCCGAAGTTTTAAGGTACAGTATTATAGACAGCAGGCCCGGGATTTATCAATCTAAGCTGAATTATCAAACCATCTTAGCTTAAAAAGCGTCTAAGATGGTTCATACGTACAATCGACTTTTTAATTTTAAGGAATTTTGAAGTTAAAGCAATATTGATAAATTTGGCTTAAGCAAAAAAATGGACTTAAGATGAATTTAAGCTGATTTCTAGTTTGATAAATCCGGCCCCGGGTACGCAGCTCTGGCCAGAGCTGAATGGAGAAGATTGGCGAAGACATTGGGTTATGAGCTACATACCGGCAGTGTCCATTTATCATACCTAAGGCCCCATAAAAAAAATGATTAGTTTATCATCCCCGCGCGCATCTCTTTTGACGAAATCGCGATATTTTTTTTTTTTTTACTAGATTTTTTTCATTGAAAAAACGATCGTTTGTTCGTCAAAAACAAATTTTAAGGCTGGTGAATGATGATTTTCGATCTTTAGAGT